AAACTTTTAAGAAAATTATGAGGCCAGAAGTAACCTGAGAGAAGATAATTCATCTGGCTCTAGGTCATCACAAAAGATTTCTTAAATGGATATTTAGGGGTAGCAAATACAGATGTTTTACTAGTTGGAAACCAGAAATTATAGGGAGTATAAAGTTGTAAAATTGCATTTACAGGGTTCCTGCTGTTGTATTCTATCTCATTTTTATGGCTATGGTTCTATTTCTTGTTACTGCTTTTATGCTCAGATAATATGACAATTCATGTTTACCAACAATTTGTACATGGTTTTTTGGGTAAAGGGCAATGTTCTGTTAAATACTTATCAGTACCTGTTGACATTTGTATACTAATATTACTAATAGAGTATGCTAATTGCATACTATTTGTATGTAAATCTTTTAAAATAGGTGATTCCAAGTTTTAATATTTCTACTTCTCAATAAACTCCAGCTTAGTCTCATTGGTTACTGGAAGCAGGATTCAGAAGGCATGGGAACCTTACTCTTCCCAGTTAAGCTAAAATTCCAGATTCCCGCACAACTTTTAGATGGTTTCTAGGTGGTATATGTCTTTTCTTGAGGCCATCTATGCTCTAGAACAGGGAATGAGGTTCCGTTTAATGGTTATAGATTTGTTTTCTTCACTTTGTAAGATATAGGATAACCTGTGATGCTTGTAAGGTTTCTCTGTGACTTATTTTGCTTCTGTTACCCCAGCTATCATGAAAGATCATGCTCTTAGAATTGAATATAAATTCAGTAATCTGAATAAAAGTTTGTCTAGCATACTACTCATGCCTGTCAGGGACTCAGTTAAGACTTTGGTTATGAGTGACTCCCTAATAGGAACACATGTATTCTGCCTACTGTTTAATTCTGTGTGATTTTGGACTCAAAGAGTACTAGTAACTGTACACTTATTTTGAAAGAGAGGACAAGCTGGGCACCTCTAATCCTAGCAACTCCAGAGGCTGAGGCAGGAGGATCTCAACTTTAAGGCCAGCCTCGGCAATTTTTTATAGACCTTGCTTAAAATTTGAAAAAGGGCTGGTGATATATCTCAGTGGCAGAACACCCCGGGTTCAATTCCCAGTATTACCTCATATGAGGCCAAGATAGATTTAATAATATTAAAGAAATTCTGAACAGGCTTATAAATAGAACAGTTGATGAAATAATACTAACTTTACTCAAAGACAAATTATATTTCTAAAATCTTGATTTCTTTTGATGTAGATTATAAAATTGATTTTTGTTCAGATAGATTTTAAAGAATTGTAGTATTTTAAAAATTGTACAATACTTGGTAAGTGACTTCTTCACAATAAATACTACTTAGTTGAATGGAAATAAATATAATTTTGTACTTAAAATAATTATGTATTATGTTTTAAAAGTGTTCTCAAATGTGGTACTGATATAAGTGGATGTTATAAAAACATTTATGTTCTCTTTCTGGGAATTTTAAGAATTATATCAGTTATTCATTATTGATTAATCATATCTGCTTAGGAGTTAAAACTTCCTTGGGGATTTCCTAGGGTCTGGTTTTCCTGTTTTGTTTATAACATTAGGTCTGACTTCTAAGGATCAACTTATAGGTCTCTAGTTAAAGGAGTTTGGACAAACTTATTAACATCGCCACAAGATAAATTCTACTTGCAAAACACAAATACCAGTGTGTTTAGTGTTCTGTAGATCAGCAGTATATTATATATACCACTGACCCACCATATCTGCAGTTTTTGCATCTGTGGATTCAACCAACTACAGATCAAAAATACAGTCCTCTCTAAATT